TGAGTAGAGGTGAATACACTGTCAATAACATGTCTATTTCAGTACCAGTGAAATAGAACACACTCTTATCAAGCTGCAGCAGGCAATCTAGCCAGCAGCAAACAGTAAGACCTTATATTTCAAGGTACGCCTTCCGCAGTGATCTTTGCATCAGGATTTTACTACAATGACATTTCATGCATAGACAAGACCAGTTACTTCTTCAGAGCCTCCTTTAAAGAATATTTACTGATGTGTTGATTGAAAACTTTAAAACACTTCTTTTTTTGTTGTTGAATTTTTTGTTCACAACGAAGCTAAAATTATCCTTGACAAAATAACCAGTTGTGCCTCTTGGCATTTTGACAAAGAAATTCTTTTAAAATAATAGGAAATTAGTAGATGTGGCCTTAGTACTAAACAGATCTTTAAAAATTAATATTAAAAAAAACCACTATTGTTTAGTTTAACAATCGAAGGTAGATGCTTAATGTCATATCTAAATCTGTACACACAGCAGATTCAAGATCTGTCTAGCTATTGCTACTGATCACAAAGATCAATAAACTGGCAAGGTTCTTCCCCTGAAATAGACACGTTACTGACATTTGCTAATTACATATCATGCTTCATAGTCAGGGACATCACATCAATAGATACAAACTATAGTCACTGTAGGTGAACTACATCTCTAAATATACAAATCAGGCAGTTTAAATGCATACTCAGTTTCTTAACAAACTCCATGCATTAATGATTTGAATCATGTATGCAAATGAAATGCAAATTATGGTTATACAAATTATGAATTTATAAAAATATGGATGGTATTGATGCAATATGGACTGACTATTAACCTTATTTGAATAACATATATACTTTTGAAATTTGCTGTGAAATTTCAAGTCATGAAAATTAATAGAGTTTCACTTTTGAAACATAATCACACAAATGCATTTTACACTCGGATGACTTCTCATGACCTTAAACTCTGATTGAAGCATGTAACAGCTGTTTTAAATACCAGTAATAAATTAGATTTATCAACAAAGCTGCTAATAATGTACAGGAAAGGAGGGTCACCATCTCGCCTCATGTGTCATCATCATCATCATCATCATCATCATGGGCAAGCGGCTAGCATGATGATGACAACACTAGGAGGACAAATGCTGGAATGACATTGATTGAAGGATCTTTGGATTCCCACTGTATACGATCAAAATTAACTGGACAGGAATCTCAATATTTGCAAACCCTACAATCTTATTAAAATCTGATCTTAGTTCTCGCTGCCACTAAACAAAGATCTGAGGACATCTCATTATGGGTCAGGTCAGACCGACCTTTCGCAAACTCTGACTGACCAATGGAATTAGTCGACATTAGCCAATCAGAAGGCAGCTTTCTCGTGCTTTACAGCACTAATTTCAAATTGGCAACTACGCTTCGAAACATATTTTGACAAATTCTCGCTTAAAAATTTGAAACCTGAACAAAAGAACATTCTCAAATGGCTAATATATGGTCTAGATTGTATAGATTCAGTCTTTAAGCCCCTTACTATCGTTCGGAATACCCCGTGTTAACGTTTTTGAGGTTGCATTATTAGAAAACTCATTCCGACTGTCACTTTCATGATCTGGTAAGCAACGCTTTGATTTGTCGGATGAAAGGTCATTCTGACGTGACCCCTAATGGGATGTCCTCAGATCTTTGTTTAGCGGTAGCGAGAACTAAAATCTGATTTTAATGAGATTGGCAAACCCTATGAAATGACCTAACACTGGAATATATCAACTTCAAGGGCATGAACAATAAACAATATGTAAAAAGTATTATCTATCGGAGGGTTTTACATAAAATATGAATTTCAATGATCTCTTTAATCTGTACTACCAATATGGCTTGGATCATAACAACTGCCACCAAGGCCGGATAACTCCTGTTTCTTCTCAAACACAATATCTTTCATCAACATGTCATTAATGAGTGCTCTCCCCTTATTTCAATCTATTTGGAAAAATCATATACCATAATCAACGACAAGAAAAAATTAAGTTTCCGTTCATCCTGTATTTTCATGTGATCTTCGCAGTATTAGTCTGAACAAACACAGTGTCAAAAAGGCAGATAAAAAAAATGAAAATAAGAACTTGGTTTCTTAATTACTTACAAATTTAATCTGTTCAATTTATGTTAGCCTAAACAAAATGACAAACAAAAATTCAAGTAAGTGTTATAAGTTCAAAACCAGATCTGTCCATACATGGTGATGGCCCATATTCCAGTCTATAAATAGTAACACTCAAGCAGCTTATAGCTGCTCTTCAACCTTGTTGCATAGCAACAAAAGTTTGATGAACATTTGGAGTTAATAAGCTCTTAGGAAATAGCAATTTACACACCAAAATAAATAATTTAAAGAAAACATTTACCAATGTGGAGACATTTTAGACCAGACATACACTTTATTGCAATGATAAATAGTTTTAACATAAATAATCTAGATAATTTAATACATAATTAGCACTCAATACTTGAAAAGTAACAAAACATGTTGGTTGTTATAAATTAGGAAATATTCTTTGGTGATAATCTGTGAAATTCTACACACACCATGCCATGGAGATTCATAAATATGCATCAGGCCACAACAAGTTCATTGGACATTTAAGTCAGAGCTTTCTGTTGTGTTGTTTATAAAATGACATAAACAATTGCATAAAAAATAAATATCGAAGTCAACAGTACTTTAAGATGATGGAAGTATGTCCCAACTGCTTCAAAGTGCATTTGCCAAACACAGAAATTAAGTGTTCGAAGAATTTGCTTATATTACTCCCTTGGCAGGCATTCTTTTTGACACAGAGTCTTATATACTGATAGAAATAAAAAAGGGAACACTCAGCTTTAGACACAGTAAAATGATCTGCTATCTGTGGTTCCCAGCCTGGTCAACCAAATACGCATTGGAAACAATGCCCACAAACACATCTCAACATTTGATGCTGACCTGTGATGAATTTGTGTATGCACTACTGTATTTTCTTGAGTACAGTGTGGACATTTTTCCCCAAAACACAGCTGTGTAGAAGGAGATGTGTATTATACATGCCATAATGAGTTTTGATGTTTTTTCCCCCAACCGAAAGACATTACTGTGCAGACTATACACGCCATAATGAGTTTTGATGTTTTTCCCCAAACCAAAAGACATTACTGTGCGCATTATACATGCCATAATGAGTTTTGATGTTATTTCCCCCCAACCGAAAGACATTACCGTGCGCATTATACACGCCATAATGAGTTTTGATGTTTTTCCCCAAACCAAAAGACATTACTGTGCGCATTATACATGCCATAATGAGTTTTGATGTTATTTCCCCCCAACCGAAAGACATTACCGTGCGCATTATACACGCCATAATGAGTTTTGATGTTTTTCCCCAAACCAAAAGACATTACTGTGCGCATTATACATGCCATAATGAGTTTTGATGTTATTTCCCCCCAACCGAAAGACATTACCGTGCGCATTATACACGCCATAATGAGTTTTGATGTTTTTCCCCAAACCAAAAGACATTACTGTGCGCATTATACATGCCATAATGAGTTTTGATGTTATTTCCCCCCAACCGAAAGACATTACCGTGCGCATTATACACGCCATAATGAGTTTTGATGTTTTTTTCCCCCAACTGAAAGACATTACCGTGCGCATTATACACGCCATAATGAGTTTTGATGTTTTTTTCCCCCAACCGAAAGACATTACCGTGCGCATTATACACGCCATAATGAGTTTTGATGTTTTTTTCCCCCAACTGAAAGACATTACCGTGCGCATTATACACGCCATAATGAGTTTTGATGTTTTTTTCCCCCAACTGAAAGACATTACCGTGCGCATTATACACGCCATAATGAGTTTTGATGTTTTTTTCCCCCAACTGAAAGACATTACCGTGCGCATTATACACGCCATAATGAGTTTTGATGTTTTTTTCCCCCAACCGAAAGACATTACTGTGCGCATTATACACGCCATAATGAGTTTTGATGTTTTTTCCCCCAACCGAAAGACATTACCGTGCGCATTATACACGCCATAATGAGTTTTGATGTTTTTCCCCAAACCGAAAGACATTACCGTGCGCATTATACACGCCATAATGAGTTTTGATGTTTTTTCCCCCAACCGAAAGACATTACTGTGCGCATTATACTCAAGAAAATACGGTGTTTCAAATGTACCGACAGTGAAGCCTACTTCCCTACATTTTTCATTGTTCCCTTACTTGGTTAAATCAGTACATTAATAGCTAAATATGATGCATGGGATGTATCATAAACTCAGAGGCAACTTCATTTTGATACGATTCTGACAAAGAAAATAATCAACTAGTGATGGCCTGTTACTTTTCATAATCTACAGGTGACTGTCATTCTCTTGTCCACACTTATCTCCGATTTACATGTGAAAATTAAATCTCCTTGTTCAACTTCCTAATTATAATGTCTTATAACCTCCCTCCTCAAATATATATACCATATCCAACTATCTGATATTTGAAGTTCAGACATTAAATCTTGTTTTGTGTTTATCTAAAACCATCAAAAGGTTAAATATTTAAAACAAATACTAGAAGATGGTGAGATCTTGTTGATTCTTGGTGTGACAGATACTGAGACTAGGCAACACTCAAAACAACTCAAAGCAAAGGCCTTCAACCCTTCATAACAAAATGGTATCATCCATCCTCTGAAGCAGAACATCCCATTTCATGAAATGGGGTAAACAATGATCAGATGTGGACACAAAGACTAGATTGAAGTGATTATTTTCACAACTATGCGAGTTCTATGGCATCAAGCAATATATTGCACAATCAAATGTATTTTCAATGGAACAAAGGGACATAACTCTTGTTACAAGGGACATAACTCTTGACAAAAGAGACAATGGTACTGCTGACTTGGTTGTGAAAGAATTTGAACAAAGACATAAAATTGGGGGGGTGTCTCAAGTCAGTTTTTCCCATTGTTCCAAGAAAAATTTAATACATGATGAATACATATTTATGTTTTACTCGGACTGTTCAGTGTATAAGCAACTGACAGGTCAAGATTAATTGTTATGCACACTTAAGCCTTGAGAGTTATCCCCCTTCAAACATTTTGCACATCTTCATAAACACATCTTTGGTTATGTTATAAGGAATGTCATGGGTGCAATACCAGCAAATAAGCCTAAAATATGGACTCTTTTTCATCAAATACACACGCAAAAAACTACTCAAGTGGGAATTAAACTTAACCAACAACCACTTCGATTTCTGTTCATTTTCATGCATAACAAATATAGGCTGAAGAAAAGAAAAAATAATGCTGTGATTCTTATATCAAGGATTTGGGTGGGATTTTGTAACATGTATTCTTTAAACAAAACCCAGGCAAAGGTCAGAATTATGGTACTATTTAGTAGTATATGTGATGTAAAAAATGTCAATGAGATTCATAAACAAAGGCTCTATCTGAACCACAGCATTTCTTTCTTAAGAATTCTAGCATTCACAGCAAAGTGAAAACTATAACAAAGACACTGCAGTCATTACAACTCAGCTTGGAATGTGGAGTGCTAAAAATCTTTCAAGTGATAGAGTGATGTGATCGATATTATGCGCCTCTTCATGCAACAATCAAAACAAATATTCCCATAAACTTAAACACTCAGGTCAGCTCTCAGATTGACAAAACATGTCCATCATTTAATAACCCTCAGGGTTACTAAAAAAATTTAAACACCATCCTAAAAGTTCACAACAACACCACACAGTATCTTTGAGTATGTTGTAAGTGACGACCGGCAAAGTTAAGGGGAGATAACTCTTACAGCTTTGTAAAAATTTCTTTCTCTCAAATCACTATCACTCTCCTACATAATAAGAACACCTAAAATGGTGTGTTGTTGTCTATGTACAATGGGACTGAGAAACACAATGGCAATGGAATATAGCGAAGATGATGGAATTGTGATATGAGGGGTAAAGCTATCGATCTGGAGGTCGCTCCGATATGAATAAATGTCGTCGTTCTCGACAGTATCGTTTATGAACTGGCCAGTCCCTCTGCTGGCAGTATGTTCCACAATACCTGTAAGGCAAAGACAGAAAATGTTAAAATATTAGAAAAATCATTTTGGATAACATACTCTTTTAAATACATAAATAAGTAAAATCAGCATTCATTTTATATTTCTACAGTTTGAAATTCGAACATGCCTCTCCGAAAACAAGGTCAAAGCCAAAGTAGTTAAGAGTGTATCAACCCTATGCAGTTACCATATTCGACATAAGAAGTGCCCAGGGTGCTCTCAAAATTAGAAATAGGGGCTCTTAAATTTCATGGGGCACGCTAAACCCTGAAATGTTTATATACGACAGATATATTTTTCCAGAATTCAATTGCCCATAATTAAGCGTGCATATAACACACAAGTGAGTATTATTTATGAATAAATAAGTCTTGTGTACATTGATCAATTGGAAGGGGTGCTAAGTGGGATTGTTCACTAGCCAACATATTATCAAATATTGCTGTGGGCGCTTATTAGAGCGGGGCGCTTATTACGTCCAATACGGTATAAATGATCTCTTGCAAAAAAAAGTGAGCATGAAAACAATGGCATGTGTCTTCAAAATATTTATTTAAATGTAATGACTGTCGAAATACTTAATACTGAAGTTATTGGAAATACAAGAATAGTATTCAAAGAACTGTATGGTGCAAAGATACATTTCCTGGCATCAATCCTCCTTTGATTACAACATATAAAACAGTTTTCTTCAAAGTAATTAAGTCTGTTAAGACAAACTGGTGGTTGATCAATCTCATTAAAATCAAATCTTAGTTCTCGCTTCCGCTAAACAAAAATCTGAGGACGATCATTAGGGATCACGTCAGAACGACCTGTCATCCAACCAATCAGAGCCTTCATTATCATGAAATTGACAGTTGGAAAGTGATTTCTAATCATGCAACATCGAAAACTTTAACACGGGGTATTCTGAACGATACCGGAACGAACGGTAGTTATGGGCTTAACAACTAAATCCATAAAATGTAGACCATCTATTAGCCATTCCAGAATGTTCTTTTGTTCAGGTTTCAAATTTTTAATTGAGAATTTGTCAAAAAATGTTTCAAAGCGTAGTCGCCAATTTGAAATTAGTGCCATAAAGAACGAAAAAGCTGCCTTCTGATTGGCTAATGTCGACTTCTTGTCAGTCAATCCATTGGTAGGTCAAAGTTTGCACAAGGTTGGTCTGACATGACCCGTAATGTGGTGTTCTCAAATCTTTGTTTAACGGTAGCGAGAACTAAGATCAGATTTTAATGAGATTAGTGATCAATAGCATGAGCAACGGTGATGACCATCTGGGTACAATGACACAGAGTCTGCCTGGTCACAAGTAGATGTGTAGAGATGGTCACGCACTCCCTGCAGGGGAAGAAGGGAGGCACAGTTATTTGGTCAATACGGAGGAGGACGAGAGTTACCTGACTTCCTGGCATCTGCCACATATACTGAATTCCCTGATTTCCTTCTCCATGTTGGTGCAGGGCAGGTAGTGGCACTCGTAGTAGACGCAGCTGTCTTCTGGAACATACACAGAAGAGTTACAGTTGGACAGTCGGTAGTGGCACGCGTTGTACACGCAGCTGACTTCTGGAACATACACAGAAGGATTACAGTCAGACAGTCTGTAGTGGCACGCGTTGTTCATGCAGCTGTCTTCTGGAACATACACAGAAGGGTTACTGTCAGACAGTCGGTAGTGGCACGCGTTGTACACGCAGCTGACTTCTGGAACATACACAGAAGGGTTACAGTCAGACAGTCGGTAGTGGCACGCGTTGTACACGCAGCTGTCTTCTGGAACATACACAGAAGGGTTACAGTCAGACAGTCGGTAGTGGCACGCGGTGTACATGCAGCTGTCTTCTGGAACATACACAGAAGGGTTACAGTCAGACAGTCGGTAGTGGCACGCGGTGTACACGCAGCTGACTTCTTGAACATACACAGAAGGGTTACAGTCAGACAGTCGGTAGTGGCACGCGGTGTACATGCAGCTGACTTCTGGAACATACACAGAAGGGTTACAGTCAGACAGTCGGTAGTGGCACGCGTTGTACACGCAGCTGTCTTCTGGAACATACACAGAAGGGTTACAGTCAGACAGTCGGTAGTGGCACGCGGTGTACACGCAGCTGACTTCTGGAACATACACAGAAGTTACAGTCAGACAGTCGGTAGTGGCACGCGTTGTACAAGCAGCTGACTTCTGGAACATACACAGAAGGGTTACAGTCAGACAGTCGGTAGTGGCACGCGTTGTACACGCAGCTGTCTTCTGGAACATACACAGAAGGGTTACAGTCAGACAGTCGGTAGTGGCACGCGGTGTACACGCAGCTGACTTCTGGAACATACATAGAAGGGTTACAGTCAGACAGTCGGTAGTGGCACGCGGTGTACACGCAGCTGACTTCTGGAACATACACAGAAGGGTTACAGTCAGACAGTCGGTAGTGGCACGAGGTGTACACGCAGCTGACTTCTGGAACATACACAGAAGGGTTACAGTCAGACAGTCGGTAGTGGCACGCGGTGTACATGCAGCTGTCTTCTGGAACATACACAGAAGGGTTACAGTCAGACAGTCGGTAGTGGCACGCGTTGTACACGCAGCTTTCTTCTGGAACATACACAGAAGGGTTACAGTCAGACAGTCGGTAGTGGCACGCGGTGTACACGCAGCTGACTTCTGGAACATACACTGAAGGGTTACAGTCAGACAGTCAGTAGTGGCACGCGTTGTACAGCGAGTTAATATCGTTTTATGCTTTTTAGCATTATTCCAGCGACACCAGAAATCGGCTTTAAACATTGTACCCATGTTGGGAATCAAACCGGGGTCTTTGACATGACAAGTGAACGCTTTAACCTCTACGCTACCTACCGCCCCCATCAAGAACAGAATGGAGTCACTACAACCCCCATGACAAGGTCAGTCAAGTATAGAACGAACAAGAAGAACCAACATACTGTTGGTTGTCACAGTTAATGACCGTCCATACCTTCACTTTCTACAATTTCTCCATTGGAGTTGTAATATCTGTTGTATACTGGCTCTGGAAAGTGCTGAAACAAAACCATCACACAAGTCAGTATTTTTAGACAAACAAACAAACAAACAAACAGCTAAAGGAAAAGAACTGCCAGTTCACAAACCGTTTGCGCATGATGACACACTATTCTGCCAGTTTACAGTTTAAGCGCTCAAACATGAATTTTCAAAATGCAAAAATTTAAGAAAAGCCTATTTTGACATAAATGAAACGTAAGCCAAATTTATGCCCTTTCAAACAAGATACTACACATATTGTAAATTATGGTAACAAATGTTTGGTTAAATGTTTCCATCATGTTATCCTCACTTCTAAGGGGTCCCCCTGCAGTTGTTGTACTGCTATCCAGTACAAGCTCTGCTCTCGGTTCTTGTTGGAAGGTTCCTCTAAGTAAGGGGTTGAGCATTTGGAGGATACAAGAATGAGGTTTTCCATGCGATTGTCGACAGTCACGCCATTTTTATGTACAACTTTGTAGCCGTGTGCTACACCTCCTCTGTGACGTTCCCTGGAACAACAAAAGTGAGTGAAGCAATCTGATTGTGTGATAAATCGACAATATTTATATTTTAGATTTACACATGTTTTGACTATGACAAAAATCAGCTGCTGTGAAATTATAAATGACTATATACAAAAAAGTATAAAAAAAATATTTTAAATTTTTTTTTTTAAATAAAAAGGAAGATAAATAGGAAACAAAAGAAACTTCTAATAAAAAGAATAAAATATGACATGAAATTCCTCATATTAAAGCCAGTACACTAATTTTAAGCAATTTTCAAATAAACTTCAATGGCAACAATATTTGAGTTCAAATACCCACTGGCTAAGTTTGATAACAAAACTAAATAAGAAAAGACACTGATATGTTTTGTTTTTTCACAAATGACAAAAATTCTGTAAAGATTGTGAACCTAAAAAATTTAAATTTGTGGCCTTATATACTAAAAGCAACATCAATGCATTGTACATCAGCTAATTGGTAAGGGACACCAAGCAGAGATTCACATGTACCTAGACGGAAAATCAATCAAAGGTCCCTGAAGTTTTGACAAGCAAAATTTTAAAAGGCATTTGGTTAAATCAAATACCATATTCGCCATAAAAAGCACCTTGGTCACTCAGAAAATTCACAATGGGGGGGGGGTGGGTTAAAACCATGCTTATACTAAATTTGTTTTCAGAGATTTAGCAGTAGAGGAGACATAGTTCAAACATCCATGAAACAAAAACCTTTTCACTAATAGTTACAAGGTCCTGACGTACCCTTTCTACACTACTGTGATTACTCTAAAACGATCGGTAACATGAACAAGAAAATATGGATTGTCATTTACATTATCAGGCTTAGTAGATGCTTATAAAGATTACTTACAGAATGGTCTCAAAGATGGTCGGGGCTTAATAGAGAATGCGGTAATTCATTTTAATCCATCTCCCATTATCTTGTAGCTATAGGAATCCTGGTAATATTCCAAGACAAAACTTGCCCACTTACCATAATAATTCATGCAGATACTGCCCTGAACTTCGACCCTTAACAATATCGTAAGCATATGCGTAGATCTTAGCTCCATTTCCATCTCGATCCACTTCCACTCTGGCCTAGAAATAGAGAAAGTTTATTTATATACTCTGGGATAAAAGTTTCTGTCAGTTCGTTATCATGAAAAGCATGTTAGTTCCGACAAAGAAAACAATTTTCAAGATGGCGACTGCTTCCAGCTTGAAGACATGAGAGCAAAGAGGTCTTTGTCACAAGCTTAAACACTTTGTCTCAGGGGTGTGTTACACGCAAACGAGAGAAAGATTGCTATATGTTTATTTTAATTGGCTAATATTTCAACTACAATGAATTCAAACATCCATTGTGTTAAAGAACAAAATTCATTTTTAAAAATTACACTGAAACAAATTTTCACCACCAAACATATTCATTTTAACACACAAATACAACATTCAAGCCATTGCCGAACCCTCAAAGTGGTATTTTTTGCTGAACCAAAAATATATACCCTTGGTATATGTTAATAGAGGAATCCCTACGATAGCAACCCCATCTCAAGACAACTATGGCATAAATGGTCCAAGATGCAAGAGTTTGGTTTTTTTCTGAAAGAGACGTGATATATACATGAAAATATACAGTCCTTTCTATGCAAACATAAACGTACATTCTGTGATCAACAAGAAAAGCGTGTTGGGGTATCTTATTCCACTTGTTATCAGTCAGTCTACATTGAAACAGCGATATCTCCCAGGTGAGGTCACTTACACGCACCGGTTAGCTCAGTGCAACCCACCACACCCTCAATGTGCCACACGTGGGACCCACAAGGCTGGCCCTACCACCGAGCACCTGTAGCTATGGCAGCAAGGTGTTTCCAATACTGAATATTTTCAATATCATGACTCATCAGAGCAAAATTACCATGAAATCTTTGTGATATGAGAAATATTGGAATAATAATTTCAATTAGAACAAGCTGTTCAAAATGATATTTGTCAATGCTATTTTTATGCGATTACCTGTCACTTTGAGCTGAGAAATTATGGACACGGTGTTCAATGTTTACTCACTCACTCAATCTCATAACCACATATTCCACCTGTTTATTCATGCCAGGCAAAATAACATATCTAAGGAAGAGAATTTATGGATCCTATTTGTGCTTGAATTTCTTTAACCTACAGGGCATTTTGCTTTTGACATTATCACCTGTAGCCATACTAGTCAACAAGAAAACAATTTGGAAAGTGAAATAAATTATTTGTTACCTACCCTATGAACTAACATATGGTGTACATGTTATCTATGACATTGTGTTTAAGGCGCTCATTAATCATGCTAATTAAACACTGTATGAGGTGAGGTGAAATGGAGTTTCACATCACGACACATTTAAGATTATTTCACTTACAAAGCGACGACATTCAAGCACATGTGTGTCGCTGTACTAGTCCGGACTAATGACAGTTTCATAGTGCTGGCCATGCCGCCATTTAACATGAATACCCCACTCAGACACAGGATACTGACTCCAAGCTGACCAGTCTTTGTTTTAGCCCATCAGTGTCGAGCACCAGGCAGGTTAACAACAAGTACGCTATTTTAGCATCTTTCGGTATGCGGCCGGGGATTGAACCCACGACCTTCGCTCTCCGGGCAGACGATCTACCAGGGTTGGTAACTGCATACTTTAAAACAGGTGTCCATCATCATCATAAACAAGACAATTATCATGATCATATGACAAATTAGAAAATATCTGTAGTTTTATGAACTGGTATGTATGTTTCTGAATGGTGTGTTTTCAAAAAATCCATCCAGAAACATTGAAAATAACAGTTTCAAATGAATCCTTCCCTGTACAAGAGACGGGATACACATCCTGAATCAATATTGCCTGAGTTGCATGTCATTAATCTCTGAGCTCAAGCATTCTGCCATACAACATCATACACACGTAATCTGATACAGCTACCAGAGAAAATATTGATATTTCTTTGCGACGCTACAACAAAAATATTGAGTTGATGGGGACAGGTACAACTGTGTTTGGATATTTACTTTTCTTTAAACAGGGCAACAAAACAAAAGCACATACTTGCAAAATGTATGTTCATATAAAAAGAATAATCTAAAAATTTTCATCTATATGTAAAACAAATATTTAAAAAACAAAAGTCTGTATGTCTTTATCAACAGATTTTGTTTAAAAAAATAGATTAAAAACTGTGCTGAAAAAACACTCATAGAAAAACCACCCATTTTAATATATGATATGATATGATATGATATGATATGATATGATATGATATGATATGATATGATATGATATGATACGATATGATACGATATGATTTTAATATTATATTTGAATTCATTTTCTCAATCTATAAATATCACCTTTATTGAAATCAGAATCATAAATCCAGTCAGTCCATAACTGGTCAAAATGTTACACACGACTTACATGGACATTTTATGGACAACAGTTCAACCATCCTCCAAAATAATGTTAATTGGACTGCAGTTTTGTATTCAGATCTGTTTGTTTGCTTGTTTTGTTTGTTCGCACTCAGCAATATTCCAGCTATATGACGGTGTTCTGTAAATAATCAAGTCTGAACCAGACAATCCAGTGATTGACATCATGCGCATCAATCCACGCAGTTGGGATACAATAACATGCATCAACAAAGTCACCGAGCCTGACCACCCGATCCCGTAAGTCGCCTCTTACGACAAGCGTAGTCGCATTTTACTGAAGGCATGGGCTGCTTTTACGTGTAAGGCGTATGCTTGAAGTATCTCCTCAAAACTCCTTGCACTAAAAGCCTTGATCAATCACCAAATTTGTATTCCGTTTGGATGCCAGTCTTCTCACAGTCCATATTAAGCAGCCCAATATTTTAACCCCTTTGTTGGGTACTACATCCAGTCTATCCGCTACCACCTCGGAAACCTGACCAGCACAATTTCTGGCGCACGTTTCCCTTCACGCAAGCTCCATCAAATTACCCCATGATGAAATGTCGCCCAGTCCACATCAGGCCAGAATCCCTGGTGAAACAAACCAGTTGCCTGATTTCGTTAATCAATCTAAACCACATCCCTTGTGCACTGGTTCAACTGTAGCAATGCCATGCCTCACCTCCATTAAAGGCACCCTGTCAGCAGTTAATGGGTGAGTGAGTGAGTAGGGTTTAATGCCCCATGGAAATGGATTTCCATATATCAGTAGGTAGATTGTCGTAGTTTTGTTCCATGGTGAAACCCATGAGTACAGTCTTGTTTTGTCACAAGGATCACAAATTTGGATAATGTGGGGGTCAAATATGGGTCAGGGTACAACTAAGGGAGACAACTCTATGGGAGAAGAGTGACACCTTCATTAAGTCAAGACCATTTTACCTTTCATTTCAGGTGCCATTCTGATCAACAGATCCATCTTATTTATAAGGGATTCTGGAGACCTACCCTGTCTCAGACTTCCATATGGGATGAAGTTTTAATCGTCTGTGACAGAATTGTGTTACAGAATCATCTGTCACAGAATCTTATCCAAATGAACCACAGTTCCCTATCAAATCTGCTTGTGGTTGGAATCAAAACCGTCAGCAAACTTAGAACTTGTGCAAGCAAACAAATGATAATCAATGCAAATACAATTTTTAATGAATGCAACACTCAGCATTATTCCAGCTATATGATGGGGGTCTGATAATAATCGAGTCTGGACCAGACAATCCAGTGATTGACATCATGAGCATCGATCCAAGCAATAGGGATACGATGCCATGAATCAAGCAAGTCAGTGAGCCTGACCACCCGATCCCGTTAGTCGCCTCTTACGACAACCATGGGTTGCTGAAGACCTATTCTAACCTGGATCTTCACGGATCTAAAAAATGCTGTGGTGACATATATGCTATCACCCTAACACAAGATTATATTTGGAAATGTTTGTAAACTAATGTACATCAAGTAGACATACCTTTTAACGAGTCACAGTATGGCATTTTTGATATATGTATCCATTCTCTGTCAACTAAAGTTCGTTTCAAGGTGTCAATAGTGGTAATCTGACCGTGGTTGCTGTTAATAACGGTGAGTTGTGCAATCTTCCGATCGCTTCACACACGATTTCGCCGAAATTAATTAAAACAATATTAAAAGGAATTTTGAATAAAATTAATAAAATAAGTTACAAACATAAGTCCAGATATACAAAGAACCCTTTTTATAGACAGACAGTGTAATTACATGACTAATTTGTGTACTTCAGTGTGGATTTGTTGACATTGTATTTCCGGTGTTACATGCTCACTGTAATGTCTTTCCATGGGGGAAAAAACATCAAAACTCATTAATTTCGTGTATAATACCCACCCCCTTCTGCACAGCTGTGCATGTTTTTTGGAAAAAAAGCGCGCACTATACTCAAGAAAATACGGTAGTCAGCACTAAAAGCTACAACCCTGGCCAGGTTTCTAAAATCATAAACATGCAACATGAGATTGAGAAACTGTCATAGCTGCTAAAAAACAATCTTTTTTCTTAAGATATTCCCCACAACCCTTTCATGACATGCGACACTTTTAATCAAATCGTAACAAAAATAATCCACATCTAAACAAGCGCCAATACAGTATTGCTTTAATGGAATTTTATCAGTTTTCAACTTTTGCACAAATCAAAAATCTTCTACAAGTGATTTAATTCCAGACTCTGCCGATCTAATTTTACATGATTCAAACGAAGCGCCATCAGTCCCCTTATTCCCACCTTCCCAAATAGGTCTGACTGTGCACGTTCCATCTATGTCCAATCCAATTGGTATCAGAGCTGCTGAGAAAATTAGTGGTGAGTTTGCGATTTGAATTTCCAATCTTGGTTGGGTTTACAACCAAGATGCTAAAACATTGCAATATTTATGACATAATTGCTCCACTGAAACTCTTGTCCAAACACCCTGGATAATATCTTTACTTCATCTTATGAAAACCCTACACAACCGGTATTCCTGGGCTGGTCAAACTGTATCATGTATGTAAATGGCGAACCCGGCAACACCTCATAACCTTGTCTTTCAGGCCAA